TTCAAGAGTGGCTTCACTTGGAACAGTAGTTGTTACTCAATCATTTATTGTACACATAAGTGTCAATTTAAGACGTAATTAATACTTCATTAAAATGTGTAATTAGAGTTTAAGGGTATTAATCAAAACACCTATAAAAAAAAAAGGGAAAATTACACAAATCAGGTGTTTAAAAAGTTTATTTTCAAAAATAAGATGTAAAGTTTATTTATTCAAAACTCAGGTAATATTTATTAAATCCTCAATTAATAACTCTAATTTTAACACACACTACTCCCTCCCCCTGCCCTTTCCCTCCCTTTCCACCCTCTCTCTCTCCCGTCTGATTGGAAAAAATTGGTAGTGGTGTTGGTGGGGCGATGGTAGTGGTGCAAGTTGTTATTGGTTGGTTGCAAAATGGCGGAGTGGAAGTGGTTGTGGTTGTGGCGGTGTCGGTGGCGGAGGTGGTGGCGAGTCTACAATATTGATGAGCGGTGGACTTGGTGGAAACCATCGTGTTGATGATCCTCGTGTCACAAAAATTAGGGCATCAGATACATTGGTGGCTGCAAGTTGGACGATGGGGATGGGAGGGGAAAGACCTGAAATTTCACTCCCTCCTGATGCTACCAACACACTTTTTGTTGAAGGCTTGCCTGTTAATTGTACTCGCAAGGAAGTGTCTCGTATCCTTTCATTTGTAGAAAAAGTTTTCCTTTGTTTTCTCCTTATTTTCACCGTCAAGTGTCTTCTATTAATGGGGTTGAAAGATATATTTCGTCCTTTCGTTGGCTACAAGGAATCAATGCTTGTGGCCAAAGAATCAAGACATGTAAGAACACATCACCCATTCCAGCACCCATCCTACGAAAGTGGTCATAGTGGTAGTGGCGATAGTCTGTGACCAAATGTTTGGTAATTTGTGACCAATTACTCAACTGTGATCTAAAAATTTAATAATATGTGACTAAAAAATAATCTGTGACCAACTAATTTAAAAATCTGTGATCTCAAAATAATCAGTGACGTAAAAAAATTTTGATCTGTGATTTCGAAATAATCTGTGATCAATTA